AAAAAAAATCAGTGGAGGACAGGGCAGGGCACCAAGGCTCCGTGTGAGCACACAGACTGGGATGGAGTTCCTGCAGGCCTAGAAGGTGAGTGGGAGTGGGGGATGGCTGCACCTCCATTCACCAAGCAGGTGTGGGGTATAAGTGTAACAAGAGGCATGTCGCACCTTTTCAGTCGTGCAGGTCTGGAGTGTCCTTTGGGTTGCTGGGATGTAGAACCTGTTCTTAAGCCCCTGGAATCTGCGAGAGCACTGTCTCTTTAAATATCCAAAATGGTCAAGCTGCTTGTAAACATTCAAAATGGTGGTGTCCTCCTGACAGGCAAAAGTCCATAGGTCAGCCTGCCTTTCTCTTCTTCGCCTTCTCCATTTATTCCCCAGCCACCAGAACAGTCCTCTGTGCAGTCCCTGGATAGCAGGGCTGATTTTCAGGCTAATTCTTAGGTCCTACCACCACTCAGCATTCTCCAAGCTGTCTGTGCTGTCAGGGTTGCTCAGGATTGCTGCCAGACCGCAGTTCCGTCTGTCTCCTTTTTTGGTATATTCTTGCGAATTCTTCTGCTAGTTGGGGTTTAGTCCACTTCTATCTCTTTCCCTTCAAGGCTCAGGGGTCCAGGATTATCTTCTGTGTCTGTGTTAATTGGTTTCCCTTTTCTTTGTTGAAGAAGGTGTGTGTAGTCTTTCTGCCTAGTCCACTATCTTACCGGAACTCCTCAATTTTCAGTTTTAAACTTCCAGTAATCTTCTTGGATCCATAATTCTAATTTCCAGCTGACTATGGGGAAGGTATTAACCTTTCTCCTGTACCTACAAAGTTTGTTTGAAAATATTTTAATTTAACTATTATTATCATCCTAATTTGAAGTGCTTTTCTTTTAGATCTGAATGTCTTAGGTTGGCATTTTCAAAATCTTGTTGCTATAGCCCTTGGATTTTCTGTATATATTTGGAATGGGGAAAAAAGCAATGAAATTGAAAACATAGACTTATGTCTCACTTGTAACCATGGATCCTCTGTGTCCTGGATAAAAGAACCGATCTGCCTGGCAGTTGGTACCAGTGAGGGAGAAGTGCAAGTACTGGCCATTTTTTTCCCCCCTCATAATTTGACATCTGAAATTACTGGGATAAAATCAACTTTTAGTAACAGGTTCATATAAAATAGAAACTTGATTGGGTACCTGTAGCTTTGGGGAGTGATAGGATATACCATTCTGGTTCTTTCTGAGGAAAGACTTAAGGGGGATATAGAGATATTCTGCTTAGTTTTCCCTTACCATCTTCTTTCTTTTCTTTTTTTATCCTCTTTCTTTTAATCTTTTCTCTCAAACTGGAGTTGGACTTGTAGAATCCCCAGTTTTGGACCTTTGGACAGAGGAAAATAACCTTTCAGCTCTCCTTTCTCATCTAAAACCATAATCAGGAATAGAGTTACATAAAATGAGTTGATTTGTTCTGATAGGACTGCTGAGATAGAGTTTTTTTGAGTTACTATCAATCTATCTAATTTCTCAGGTGTCATTATTATCAGTATTTCTTATGAGCAACAGTGTAAACAATATTTCTCAGCTGTTAGGTGTTTTAGAAGGGCCATAGATGACTCTCACCGCTCCCTCCTTTCTTCAATGCTTATTGGATGCTATGAAAGTTGTGTCATGGTTTCTTATTTCACCAAGTTGTCATTTCTCATATGGGTCAGAATATCATCTGTAGCTGGCAGGAAAGGAGCCCCATAGTAGTAAATGAGATTCCTGATTCTATAAAGTGTCCAGGTACCCATATTTTACTCAGGTATCTTTTGGTAAGTGGAGATGTATTTCCAGGTTTGGTATTACTACAATTTTGAAGGAACTGGAGGTGTGATCAGAAGAAAGACCTGGCAAAAAATCAGCCTTTGAAAACCCTGTGACACACGTAGGGTTGCCATAAGTCAGAATTCACTTGGCAGCAACTAGTTGTTTTAGAGGTGTGATAGCAGTTCCTAGCCCTTGGCTGCAAACTGGAATCACCCAGAGAATTTCAAAATAAATACGACTTCCCAGGCCTCCACCCCCACCCATTAAATGAGAATCTCTGGCCACCATAGCATTTTAGACGCTCCCCAGGTGAGTCTAATATGAGGTCAGTGTAGAGAACTGCTGGTTAGAATTAACGGTTCTGACTTTTCAGTTAGTACAAGGACTGGCTATATGAACATTAATTGTCTATCAGGCCTTTGAGAAAACAGTGAGATGTGAAAATACCAATATTACATAACTGTGCTTGTCCATTTTTTTTCAGTTATGGAATGTGATGACTAAAAAGCAGCTGAGAAATATGCTTGGCCATTTATCAGTCATTGGAGCTCTAAGCTGGAATCACTGTCTCCTAAGCAGGTAAGAAGCATCTTATTGGAGCCAGTTATGTTTGTGCCAGCAATTGACTATCAGAGATGAGTGAGCAGAACAGTAATATTAAAACCAAGACCCAAACCAAAATGAAACCAAGCAGGACATTAGACATAGTGCCTGTTATGATGATTCCTTCTCAGGTATTCAGCTCTTCTGGTGATGTAAGTATGCCAACGGCTACCCACACATACCACTGGGCCTTCAGCATCTGCCAGGATTGAAATGGGAGGCTCAGGAGTCACTGAATTATTCAGATAAAATGTGAAATTCCCTTCAAGTAAAAGATTCCTCTCTACCAAGTAATACCTGTTAGAGGGCTATTTTACTGAAATCAGGTATTTGTTACTATCAGTACTAATACTTCTAGAATATATAAAGTTTTCTGGGCAAATTTCCAGTTCACAAAATCACAGAGGTTAATTTTCAGATTATGTAGTTCAATGGTGCTCAAACATGGACATGCATAAAGATCACGTGCAGGGTTGTTAAAACACAGTTAGCTGGGCCCCACCTCTACAGTTTCTCATTCACTAGGTCTGGGTGGGCCCAAGAATCTGCATTTCTAATTTCCAAAATCATTTTGATGTTGCTGTTCCAGGGACCATATTTTGAGAACTACTGATTTGGTTTAACTTCTTCCTTTTAGAGATGAGAAAATTGAATCTCAGAAGTTAAGGGTACAATGTCCCAAAGAGAACTCTGGTCTAAAATTGGCCTAAGTATTTTTTGCTTTTAGTTAACAGCCTTTCATCTTCATACTCTGCTTCTTGAGGTAGATTTAAGTTTGAATTTATTTAGCCCAAATGCAAGTTTGAGATCTTAATACTTATGGTTTATAGGCAAAACTTCAAAACATTTAAGTGCAAAGCCCTATAAAGGCTTAAGTATTCACCCTGAGAAGTTGTTGCAGTCAAGTCAATTCTGTACTAGAGTGCCATTGCCAATCTGCAGTGTGAAGTTTAGTTTCATTTCCCATGAGGTATATGAAAAGATCCTTTCTTATAATAATGACAGCTGACCTTTTTTGGACTACTCTATGCACTGAGTAATATTCTTTATGCATGTAATCTTGTTTTAATTACTGTAATAGTCCTTGAAATTGGTTTCCTGCTCTACATTTTTTTTCCATATAAACAAACTTAACCATTAGCCTGAGGTAACATAGTTAGTAAGGGAAAGAGTCTGGATTTGAACACAGGTGGTCTGGCTCCAGAGACCATATTGTTAATCAGGATGGTTTTCAGTGTTATACATCAGTAATTTTTAAAAATATGATTCTGTACTTATTGCAGGCCCAGTTCCGGAATAATGACTAGAAAGTCACTTGTAGCTCAGAGAGAAATTTAGCAAGGGAATAGTAACCTTGCAAGGTGGAGACACAGGAAACCAAAGACAATGCCATGAGTGTCTCACCAAGCCTTACAGACTAGGGGTTTTTATAGTAGTTTTTAAGGCCAGTTGTTGTTGTTAGGTGCCATCGAGTTGTCTCTGACTCATAGTGACCCTATGCATGGCAGAACGAAACACCGCCCAGTCTTGCACCAGCTCCATGATCCTTGCTATACTTGAGCCCATCATAGCAGCCACTGTATCAATCCATCTCGTTGAGGGCCTTCCCCTCTTTAATCAACCCTCCACTTTACCAAGCATGACATCCTTCTCCAGGAAATGGTCCCTTCTGACAACACAACCAAAGTAGGTGAGATGAAGTCTGGCCATTCTCACTTCCAAGGAGCATTCCAGCTGCACTTCTTCCAGGACAGATTTGTTAGTTCTTTTAGTAGCCCACGATATTTTCAGCATTCTTTGCCAGCACTGCAGCTCAGAAGCATCAACTCTTGTTTCGTCTTCCTTATTCATTGTCCAGCTCTCACATGCATATGAGGCAATTGAAAATACCATGGCTTGTGTCAGGCGCAACTTAATCTTCAAGGAGAAATCTTTGCTCTTCAGCACTTGAAAGAGGTCCTTTGTAGCCAATTTTTCCATTGCTATATGTCATCTGATGTCCCAACTGCTGCTTCCATTGGCATCTATTGTAGAACCAAGCAATGTGAAGTCTTTGACAAGTTCAATCTTTTCTCCATTAATTGTGATGCTGCTTATAGGTCATTGTGAGGATTTTTGTTTTCTTTATATTGAGAAGTAATCCATAGTGCAGACTGTAGTCTTCAATCTTCATCAGTAAGTGCTTCAAGTCATCCTCACTTTCAGCAAGCAAAGTTGTGTTGTTTGAGTATTGCAGGTTGTTAATGATTCGTCCTCCAATCCTGATGCCACGTTCTTCTTCATATAGTCCAGCTTGTTGGATTATTTGCTCAGCATATAGATTGAATAAGTATGGTGAAAGGGTACTACCCTGACATACTCCCTTCTTGATTTTAAACCATGCAGTGTCCTCTTGTTCTGTTTGAACAACAGCCTCCTGGTCTATGTACAGGTTCCTCATGAGTATAATTAAGTGTTCTGGAATTCCCATTCTTCTCAACGTTATCCACAATTTCTGATGATGCACACAATCAAATGCTTTTGCATAGTCAATAAAACAAAAGTGAACATCTTTCTGGTATTCTTTGCTTTCAGCCAAGGTCCATCTGACATCAGCATCCTCTTCTGAATGCAATTTGCATTTCTGGAACTCCTCTGTCATATACTGCTGCAACCATTTTTGAATTATCTTCAGTAAGATTTTACTTACATGAGGTATTAATGATATTGTTCGATAATTTCCACATTCTGTGGGATCACCTTTCTTTGCAGTGTATACAAATATGGATTTCTTCCAGTCAGTTGGCCAGGGAGCTGTCTTCCAAATCTCTTGGCATAGCTGAGTGAGTGCCTCCAGCAGGGCCTCCATTTGTTGAAACATCACAATGGGTATTCCATCAATTCCTGGAGCCTTTTCTTCACCAAGTCCGTCAGTGCAGTGTGATTAAGGCCAGAGAGTATGTGATTTCAAAAGATCTTATGCAGGCAGATACTCATGAAATCTTTAGCACTTTGTGAAAGTCAGGAAGCAGAACAAAGCTGTGAGAAATTCCTAGCAAAGACCTCAATTTTCTTTAGGCAAGGTGTATGTGCAGTCTCTTTCTAAGATAGAGTCTGTGTGTTCCAACATGGATGCCATGACTTCTGTGCAAGTGTATTCTGCTGTTTATTCTTGGTTTGAGTCTTGCTCTTGTCTTAGATCTGCCATCTTAGTTCATCAGGTGGTAAAGGAGGGCAGGGATGCACAGGCCCCAAAACTGGTTAACACTGACCACAGGCAGTGGGCTAGAAGACATCTCAACAATGGCCTGTTATCAGGAAATGCCATCTAAGCATTGCATTTATATTTGCATTATTTCTTTTGCAGTGTCCCTTCCTTAGTCTTAGGATCTGAGGAATGTGATTGCCCTGTCCTGTGAGCTGTTTCTGCCTTGGTTTTATGAACTTAGGAATGTGGTTGCAGGAGCAAGTTTCTTATGTGATTTTGGCTACAAGTAGTAGAATAAGGCAATGTTTAAATTGAACAAGATTAATATGGAGCTTCATAATATGAAGTTAGAATACATATTCATCTCCCAGAAATTCTAATCTACACTATTACAGATTTTGAGAAATTTCAGAAATATCTTCATGGTAGGAAGTTATGTCAGCTCCAGGGTTACAGGTGAGGAGAGACAACTCAAGGATGCCCAAAGTAGCAGGCTGGAAGAGCAGGAGAAAGGGGATTAAAAGCCAGGAAGCCAGAGAGAAGAACAATCAGC